GTAAGATGGATACATGCTGAACTGTTATTTTATTTTAATAAAATGTGCAACAATGGGACTAATGACATGCAATTTAATGAGCAATTGTCCAGGGAAGGCTTACATATTTTCCACTGAAGAGAAACCGTGAATTTGATTTTGTTGTTTCATTATTTCATGAACTTAAGCAAATTTCACGTCATTTGCACAATCTAAAGGTATGATATTTATGATCTTGAAAATTTTACTTCCTTTATTCTATGATTTCAGTGGACTACTCTAATCTAGTCATCTGGGTAAATATATTTTATGTGATAAAATCTAAGTGTGTGTATTTTTTAGCATAAGCTTTTCCGTTAACAAACTGTACTGAAACAGAGTTCTACCTTACATTTATTATTTGAAGACACAGAAGAAATACCAATAGTACATTACCTTGTTTACAACATATTTAAATGAATAATATAAAGAGAAGAACGTGCTAATAAAGCAAGTCATGCACACATATCTTTCTTCTTTGTACTAATAACAACATCACAATACTACAATTAGGGACAAAACAAATATTGCTTTCTTCCTGAGGGACTATGTAAGGTAATTTAGCATTAACCATGATCTTCTTTTGCAATTATCTATTCATTCAATTATTTCAGTTCATCTAGTCAGTAAAATTTCTACAGAGCAAAAAAGAAAGTACACAATTTGACTCTATGAAAATAAATCCAATGCAGTCTTTCAGTTTTTATTTTCAATAAAATGAATAAATATCATAAATTTTATGTGACATTCTCATTATACACTGCTTATAATTTCTTCACTATCATCTGATTTACAAATATTCAGTAATGAGATAATAATTCAAATAAACACTGGAATCAGTGTCTTCAGAAAATATTATCTCTCCAATCTATTTGGATGGAGTCAATAATGATCTATATTTAAGCCCCAGGTATTTCTTTTAATATTAACACTAATGTATAGGCAAAGCTCTATCAAAATATTGCATCAATCAACTGAAAAAAAAGAGGTAAAACAATTTTTCAATTGTGTTATGTAAGATATCATAGTGAATTGAAAATTACTTAAATAATCCATATGGTTAACCATTTTTGGTTTTAGGGATTGACAAAGAGCACAGAGAGCAACAGTCTCTAATACCTGGATGGTGGTTGTCATCTGACTGTATCTCCTAAAATTTATATCTTTAAATTTAATTGCCCTTGTGACTGTATCAATAGGTAGGAACTATAGGAGGTGATTAAATATTGACTGATCTTGAATGGGATTATGAGGTTATAAGAAAAGGTGAGAGAGCTGTTCTTCCATTTTGTGCCTCAACCATGTGAGGACACAGAAAGTGGCACCATGTTGGAAGCAGAGAAAGCACTCAACCAGACACCAAGTCTGCTGGCACTTTGAGCTTGGACTTCTCAATATCCAGAAGGGTGAGAAATAAATTTCTATTAATTATACATTTCAATCTGCATCATTTCATTATAGCAGCAGGGATGGAATGAGGCAATAATGAAAATGTAAAATACTCATGGGATAACCATTGGGGTAATTTTTGAGAGTTTGAAAGAAGGCATACTCGGGACCTGAATTATTTAGCCAAAAATTTTCTATCAGTCTTCCCCAGTGGGAACTATGACCTTTTACCAGGTTAACTCCATATTGGAGAAAAGGAAATAATTAGATCTTTGGGAACTGCTAGTCACTAGTTCTAAACTGAAACTAATTTTGGGAGGCCCCAAATGTCACAGTGGCCCAGCAATCAGAGTAGTGACTTACATAGGTCAGGTGACTAATAGAGCTTTAATTCAAGTCCATGTCACAGAATGCCCAGGGGGCCCCAAACTCATTATGTGGTTGTTTCCACAATTCCAGAATGTATAATTGGAGTAGATAAAATCAGCAGTAGCAGAATCCCCACATTGGATCCTTGATCTGGGGGGTAAAAATACTATTATACAAGAAATGGCCAAGTAGAAGAAACCAAAATTACCTTTGTCTAGGAAAATAATAAATCAAATAGCAATACCATTATTCTGAAGGTATTGCATAAATTTGGGGAGTGATATACACCACATCTCCATTCAACTTATTTTGTCAATGCAGAAAATAGATCCTAGAGAATGATAGTGGGTTATCATAAGCTCAGTCAAGTGGTGACTCCAATTACGGGCACTCTACAGATGTGCTTTTATTTCCTGAGGAGATAAACACATCCCCTTATACCTGGTATACAGTTGGCAAGTGTTCTGGCATCTGCCCTTTTCTACCTGTCACTAAGGCCCACCAAAACCAGTTTACTTTTAGCTGGCAAGCCTAGCAGTAGACCTTCACTCAGGGATACATGAATTCCCCAACCCTATATCCCTTCAAGTTCCATTAAATTCCCTGCAACACAGGGAACTAATTGCATTTTCCTTTCACAAGATATCAACCTGATTCTTTGTATTAATTACATTAAGGTGATTGGCCCTCAAAATCCAAAAGTAGAAGCTACTCTAGAGTTCTTCATAATAATTTACATGTTGGAGATGAGAAATAAATCCGACAAAATTCCAGGGGCTTTTCACCTTAGTAGAATTTCTATGAGTCCAGTACTATGAAGTATGTGAAGGTATATTTTATTAAGATGAACAATAAGCTGCTCAACAACTAAAATAAGAAGCCCAACACCAGGTGGACCTTTTGTATTTTGGAGAAAATAATTCATTTGGATGTATTATTGCAGCTCTTTTACCAAGTCCAAAAAGCTACAGTTTACAGTTTTGAGGGACCCAGAACCAAAGAAGCACTGTGACAGATCCAAGTTGCCAATCAAATTGCAAGCCATCGTGCCACTGAGCTTAATGTCTCAGCAGGTCCAGTGGTGCCTGAAGTGCCAGTGGAGATAGAAATATTGTCTGGGGGGGCTGGTCAGTGGCATGGTGGTTAAAGTGTCTAGATCCCACATGGCTGATCATGCAGTTCTAGTTCTGAATCCAGCATCTTGAAAACCATGCCAGGCAATTGTGTGTGTGCCCATCATTCTGAAAGGAGAGACAGAAGGGAAGGTATTGTGTGTTTCCATATTTTGTGGTGGGGTGCTTTCTTATTTTGCTTCTGTCTCTGTTTCTCCAGCATGTGCATGCACTCTGTAGTATATTAAAAAGTAGTAAAAAGAAAAAAAACAAATATATTCTCCCATTCCAAGGGCTGCTGATTCATATGGTTTCTTTTGCTGAACAGAAGCTTTTTAACCTGATGTAATCCACTTGTCTATTTTGGGGAATATTGTCTATGATTTAGGAGTCTTTAAGAAGTCTCTTCCTAGTCCGATATCTCCAAGTGTTTCTCCTGCATTATCCACCAGTAGTTTTATAGTTTGAGGGCTTAGGTTTGTATTTTGAGCTGATTTTTGTTAATGGTGAGGGATAGGGGTCCAGTTTCATTTTTCTGTATCTGAATAGCCAGTTTTTCCAGAAACATTGTAAAAGAGATTTTCATTTCTACACTAGATTGACTGGTGTCTTTTGTGAAAAATCAGTTGGTTGAATGTTTTACAGTTTATTTCTGGGACCTCTATTATGTTGCATTGATCCACATGTCGGTTTTTGTGCCAATATCATGGTATTTGGATTGTCAAAGCTTTGTAATATATTTTGGGATCAGGGAGTGAGAGACCTCCTACTATACTGTTTTTGCACAGAATTGCTTTGGCAATATGGGAACTATCATGATTCCAAACAAATTCTGTGATTGTTTTTTTCTTAATTTGTGAAGAATATCTGTGTTCCTTTGATTAGGATTACATTAAATTTGTAGATTAATTTCGGTAGGATTGATATTTTGATTACATTAACTCTTCTAATCCAGGAATATGGGATGTCTTTCCACCTTTTTGTGTTATTTTCAATTTATTTTTTTATTTTTTTGTAGTTTTTCTTGTAGAGGTCTTTGACTTCTTTGGTTAAGTTTATTTCTAGATAGCTTATTTCTTTTGTGACTATTGTAAATGGAATTGTTTCTTCAATTCTACCTCTGTTCACTGATAATGTATAGAAATTTTTGTATACTAATTTTGTATTGTGCCACTTTATTGTATTCATCTATCACTTCTAGGAGTTTGGCTAGGTCTTCTAGTACTATATTGAAAAGAAGTAGAGAAGATAGGCAGCCTTGTCTTGTCTTGTTACATACAGTTGTTAGTGGAAAAGCTTCCAGATTTTCTCCGTTCAGTACGATGTTAACTACAAGTTTTTCAGATATGGCTTTTATTATGTTGCGATATGTCCCTTCTGTGCCAATTTTTCTGAGTGTCTTAATTATGAAGGGTTGTCATATTTTATCAAACACTTTTTATGCATTAATGATATGATCATATGGTTTTATATTTCTTTCTGTTATTATTGTGTATTACATTTATTATTTTGAATATATTGATCGATCCATCCTTGCATCACTGGAATAAAGCCTATCTGTAGTCATGCATAATCTTTTTTCAATCTATCATTGGATACAATTTGCTAGTATCTTGTTGATAATTTTTGCACCTTTATTTGTCAGAGATATTGGTCTGTAAAAGCAAATCAAAACAAAAACAAACAAAAGAAAGAAAGAAATACTGTCTGGAGACTGGCAGGTCCTTATATGTGAATTACAGTCAGATCATTAGAATTTTGGAGCAAAGCCGTATCATTCTTTGGGGTTAATAACTACTTTTTTTTTTCCACACCTCCAACAGATGTATTTTTTTTTAAGGAAGGGTTTTGAGAGAGAAGGAAAAAGAAAAAAAGAAAAAAAATAAACATGGGTAGAGAAGTATGGAATAGGAAATAAATACAAATATAAACTGTTTTGCTAATTGTTTTATAACCACAACAGACTAGTACAGAGAATGCCCTGTGCAAAGCACAATAAATTTTCAAAGACTGAGGTGTTCCCTTAGCAAAGCTGAAGAGTCCAGTCTCTAGTGTTTGGACTGTAGGCTGCAGTCCTTGTTTTTGGATAGATCACTCAGCTTGTGTCACAGCCCATGCTTTTAACCAGATTTGAACAGAAGAATGGCCACTTGGCCCAGGTAGAAGTAGATGAAGTGTTTGGTTTCATGTGTCACGTAACTACCGAAGTTCCTCCCCACTATGCAGGGCCAGATGGGGTTGTACTTCTTGTCAAACTCCTTCTGGATATGGGCCGCAATGTCCTTTTCTATGTTGTATTTCTCCAACGCCTGAGTCACGCACTCCACTGAGTCCTGTTGCATCACTTCCGATATGTCCGCATTTTTTATCACCGCCTTTCTATCTTAGTTGGTTAACCTGTAACAGGGGCTGGCTTGACAGCAACGGTCTCCTGCTGGAGGTGCTAGCACAGCTCTGGCCGGGCAGGAACTCCGGTCGCTACCGAAGCCGTGGCGCATCTCTGGGTTAACTATTCTTTTTTAAGAAACAATTTTTGGCCTGATACTGGATCTTGGTTGAGATGTGGTTACAGTGGTCTAACTAAGAAACCTTGTAACCTGAACTGCTCACTATAAACTGTTTGTCATCTGACCTATTAAATCATAATGTCACGTATGCACAGCAGCATTCCAACATCACCAGGAAATCATTTATACAAGATTGGGCTCAAGCTAGCTCTGTAAGCATAAATTAGAAGAGGAATTTCCCCAAATGACTGTAGTCCAAACTACCTACATTCTAGCCTACACTTGTGGCATCATGAGAAATTGCCTGTGGTCAGGTGACAGAGAAAGAGAAAACTGAAGCTTTGTTTACAATATGACCCTGAAATATTTGCAGAAACTGTACAAAGCGATCAGCTGTAGTACTGCAGCTTCCATCTGGTCTATTCTAGAAGAACAGTGGTGGAGGGAAATACACAATTGAACAGAACTTCAAGCAGTGCACCTGGCTGTTCACTTTGCTTAATAGGAGAAATGGCAGATGTGCAAATAGATACCAGCTCATAAGCTGTGGCCACTGATTTGACTGGATAGTCAGGGACTTAAAAAGAACATAATTAGAAAACTGGTAATAAGTCAGGAAATACATATATGGATGATTCTCTTTAAATACACAAGAAAGTAAAGATATCTGTGTCCTGTAAGAGAGACCACAGAATGGTGACCTCAGCAGAAAAAAAAAATTAATAATCAAGTGGAAAAAAGATGACTAGTTTTACAATACCAGTCAGCTGCCTCTTTCCTAGTCCCACTGTCATTGCCCAATAAGCTTACAAACAAAATGGTCATGGTGGCAGGGATCAAGAATATTTATGGGCTAACTAACATGAAATTTCACTCACCAAGACCAACTTGGCTAAAAGTACTGCTCAATTCTCAGTCTGCTAGCAGCAGAAACCAACTCTGAGTCCTCCAGTTAGCACCATTTCCTGGGACTGTCAGCCTTCTGGCAGGCTGATTACATCGGATCACTTCCATCATGGAAGGGGTAGTGTTTTGTTCCTTCTAAAACAGACATTTACTCTGGGCATGGATTTGCCTTTCCTCCATTTAACACTTCTATCCAAATTGCAATCCATGAGTTTATAGACTGTCTCTTCCACCATCATACTATCATTCAGAAACGTCCTTCTGAGGAAAGGACTCACTTTATATTTCTAATTATCCTAAAGTGCTGGCTTGATTGAATTGTTGAATGGACTTTTAAAGACAGCTGTCACACCATTCAGATGACAATAACTTGAAGGTCTTAAGGAGGTAATATATTCTTGAATCAGCACCCAATATGTCATGTTCTTTCTATCATAGCTATAAATCACAGATCAGATCATCAGGAGTAGAAATAGCAGTGGGACCACTTACTACTATCCCTAGTAACCTCCAGCTTTTTATTTATTTATTTAGCCTGTCCCCATTACCTTAGACTTTTTTGGCTTTAATGTCTTAGTTCCAAAAAGGGACTGCTTCCTCTAGGAGATACAATAAATTTCTTTGGATTGGAAATTAAAACTGAAACTGACACTTTATGATCCTCATGTTTCTGAGTCAACGGGAAAAGAAGGGAGATTTACATTTAAATCAGTAGGCTTAGAGTAAAGCGTGTTACTCCTTGCTTGCCATGTAGTGAGCAGGCCTCATCTACTCAAAGGCTTGACTCAATGAAGACAGTACGCATTCCCACACAGAGTCCACACACAGTAAGAGTGAATTTCTTAGAAGACTGTCTTCAATTTCACTGCAGCTAAGGCTCTTTCTGGCTCTACAACAGACATACTTTACAGGAAACACAAAAATGCTAAGAAAACAAAATGGTGTCTCTCTTCTGTGGTTAAAATTCTAAGTATCCTTTGAACTGAGGATTTATTCCAAAATTAAAAAGGTAATGAAAGATTTTCTTGTCTTGAAATGGCCAGAGACTGAAGATAAAAGGCCCAAATAGAAGTAATCTATATGAGAAATAATTCACCGAATTGAGCCAGTCCATTGTTAACCAGAGCGAAATCTAGTTATATAAATTGTTGTATTAAAACAAGAGGATAACAATTGATATCACTTAATTTGAATTGGAATACCAACAAGGAACAAGGGATTAGTGGACCTATTTTGTTTTTCTGTCCCCAAAATACTTACTCCCCTAGAGAGTTGCTCTTTCTCATGCCAAGTGTTCCTTTATGGTGATGCTATCAATCAAGTGACCTTATATGTCTCATGGAAATAGGTGTTGGCATGGGAGACAATGGGTCCAACTGGAGTTCTCCCAATATATTTTATAGACATTTACTATGTCACAGATAAAAAGTAAAGGGCTTGGGCTAACAGTGGATATTTTCCCTTCCCTGTGGTGGATGGATCCACCATCAAAAGAGATATGAATAAATCTGAATAACTGGTGAGACCAAGTAAAGGGAAGGTAACCAAAGGATGTAGGAAGAAACTTGGAATTGGTTGGGACACAGGATCCATAATGCACACTTATATCCATTAAGCTGGTTTTAAGGTAGCTTACTCATTCTATCATCCATAAATAAAACACACCAAGTAATGTACAGGAGCATGTAATACAGAACCAGAAGTTATTTGCAGTAATGTAGTAGGGAACAACAAGAAAAAGAAAAAAAAAGAACTACACATAAGAGATTCACATTAGTAAGCGAAGAGGAAACTGTTGACGCACATTTTACTAGGAATGAGAAAATGGAAAGATTGCTTGTTTCTGAGTTGAGTTTCTGGCACTTGAAATGAAAAATCTTGATGAATACAAAGGATTTCTTGTTTCATTTCAACTAAGAAATGTATTAGGCAATAAATCAGGGAAGTAGAGAATCAATCAAGAATTTCCCAAATAGTCTAGATAGAGTATTTGTAATCATACTACAAGATGATGTTCTTATCATTAGCAAGTGGATTTTATTTCAGCCATCAGATATATTCTAGGAAAAAAATATAAAGGAAAAGCAATCTGCATAAGCAGTTGTTGGTTCAGTTAAACTATTTTCCAAAGGATACAACTTTTCCAAAAATTAATACTTTCAAAATGTCTCCTATTAGGTCAAGCAGGTGGCATAGTGGTTAAGGTACTAGACTTCCACATGGTCTACCATGGTTTGAGTCCTGGATCCAGTGGCTTGAAACTCACATCTGGTGTGTGTGTGTGTGTGTGTGTGTGTGTGTGTGTGCGCCCAATATCCCAACAGGAGAATGAATGGGAAGGCATTCTGGCATGGCCATCCCTCCTTGGGGCTGATTTCTCTCTTTCTCTCTACTTTTCTGATGAGAGCACATGCTCTATAGCAAAACTCTCAAAAACAAAACAAAACAAAAGTGCCTCATATTCATTTTGGGTGGTTTATATTGGGTCATTGAAAAAGTCATGATGAATTTTTGCATTGAAAAACAGAATAACATCATGACTTTTCCATGACCCAATACATCATATGGTTTAGCTGTAATTATCTTAGCCTCTCAACCTGTTACTGTAGTTCTTTATTTATCTGTGTGTGAGCAATTACAGTATAGAAATCATTACCTGATGAATCCCAGGTGAGACCTTTCGTCAAGTGAAGACTTATTTAATAATACAAGTTACCACTCCTTAAATTACCTATTTTAGGGACCAGCAGTTGGCATAACGGCTATGTCACTGGACTCCTATGTAGTCGACTGTGGTTCGAGTCCTGGATCCAGTGACTTAAACTCACACCGGGCACATGTATGTACATGTCTATGATCCGAAGAGGAGAATGGAGGAGAGGGGATTGTAGCATGGCCATCCTCCCTGGGGGGTGATTTCTCATTTTCTGCCTTTCTGTCTCTGTCTTTCTGGTGAGTGCACATGCCCTATAGTGAAAACCTCTCCAAAAAAAAGAAAAAAAAATACCTATTTTATAAAATAGTACTAGTGTTTATACTATCTTCATAAGGAAAAAAGTCATAAGGACCCACTTACAAGTTGTCAAGTAATACTAACACGAGAAACTATAATAATACATACATACATTGTTGAATTGGTTATCTTCCCAAATTACAGAATATAGAGGGAATCAAAAAAAAAAAAGAAAAAGAAAAAAAAATAAAACAACTCTTATTCCTGAGAGAAAGTTTTATGTGGAGTTCAACCTCTGAACCGTTAGTAGCAAAACTGAGATAATTAATACTTAGTTGAGTTGAGTTAGTATTAAAAGATCAGATTTTTTTCTTGAATGAATGAACATTTCTTTATTCTTTCTGAGAATAAAAGACTTAAGAGACTTTCATCTCTGATAAAGTTTTCAAAGGTATTAGAAAAATAGTGATAAAAAAATCTCTTTATTGTCATAGTCACACATGACATTTTGCATACTTTATTTCTTTATTTTTAGTAGAAGAAAATGCCTTTATTCTTCTGTTTCCAGAAACTGGGACTGCAGACAAAGACTGCAAAGTTAATGCACTGACTTTGCTGGCAATTTAATTGGAATAGAAAATGCCTTTGATGTTGAAAAGATTTTGTGTTTAATCATTAGGCTTATTCAGGGACGGGATCTGCTCTAGGCAAGACTGTGGAAGAGGTCAAGGACTTCTTCAGTCCCCATTATCAGGCCCTTCCTTGTTCTCAGGGTTCACAAGCTTCTTTCTTACAACTCAGCAGTGTTCAAGTTTGGGACATGAGGTCAATGTAGTTTAAGGACTCAGTGTAATTTATCGGCGTTCAGATCAGTGTTCATGATTCTCCAATGTTCCCTGATTTTCTGGGCTGTCATTCTCACTGGGGAACCCACTATTATTTGAAGCTAAATTCATTTTCTAATGACTAGCCAATCCAAGATGTAAAACCTAGTTTTAGGACTCACAACTTGCCTGGT